TTCTGTGGATAGTGCTAAGTAAAGGCATTGACTGTGCTCACTTTCCCAGGAGAGAATTTAATGTGAGAGCTGGTATAAGGAGGGTTCTGTATGGATTCTGCACAAATAGAATTTTTGCTGTACGTTAGCGCAGAATTGTACACAAAAAGTAGCTGAGTGCTGGGATCTGTATCTTTCAAGCCAAGTATTTAATCTACTTAATTAAGTCAAGTGGAGGGGTGTGGGGGCCTGTGTGCCAGACAGTGAAGTTTTGCCCCAGCCATAGACAATATCCTGGCTCTGGAGATTTTGCCAGCATCGCCCACAAACTCCCTTTGCAGTCATAAGAGCTAGAAATGTCTCTCTGCAAAAATGGAAGTAGAGACTCTTGGGAAAGCTACCGTAGTCCTCACTCCCAGATTCCTGCTCACATGGAGTTCAGGAAGACAGAGATCCCTAGCTGTCGGCCAGCGTGCTACATGGATGCTGTGCTTCGCTCCTGGTGCAAAGTCTGCCCTTTTGACCATGGAGACGCCCATACAGCAGCAACGGAAGCCGAAACCGGGACAAACAAGCAAAAAGCTACAGCCCAGCATTTGAGAGGTAGGTGTTTGGCTGTTGATGGAGAAGGAAGCAAGATCTCAGGGTGGGCCCCTAATGTGTGTCTGAGCAAGAAGCAGCAGACGTTCTCTGGGCCTAGAGGAGTACCTACTGCTCAATCTCTTTGTGAGGTACTCCACCCACTGGCGGACCGTTGAGTCTCCCATGAAGTAAACCAGCTTCCTTCTCAAGCAAGTGGCCATCTGATCCGAGGTGTTGAGCCGGAGCATGGTGCAGAAAACGGGGTACCACCGACTCTGCCACACAAAGCCGCTAGGAGCAGGGGAGCTCATCCCGACGGCGCATCTCTCTCTGGGTGCTGCCACATTGCCTGGAAAAAGAAAACAAGTGACAAACCACTGAGAATTCCAGGACTGCTGCTTTTTGGCTGTTGAGGCCCCTTCCGGGAAATCCCTGGAAATAGAAAATGCCAGCAAGGTGCACTTTGTAAAGCTGACCAACAGAGGGAGTCTTTGGTTCCACGGCTCATAAAAGTAGAGTTTACCTACTTAATCGGGTACCTCCTCCTTCCTCCTGACCAGTTTGTATCCACCAGGGTGATAAGAATGTGCAACAATAGAGACCTCCTGATTAAGGGGACAGAATTACCTGCGCAAGAAAAGCTTATGGAAGGTCTGCCCCTGACTTCTGGCTGTTGTTCCTTTTCCTTCAAAATGTGTACTTCACCCCCACCCCCACGCCCCAGTCATATGTGAATGTGTGTGTGTGTGTTCTTTTTATGGAACTGGTAAAATACCATTTTATAAAAATTGCCATTGAGTGACATTAAAACAAAAAAAGACATAAAAGTCCTTTTGTTTTTTGTTTTCCTAATCCACGTATATTGTACAGCAGTTTTGCTTCAGAGTGTGTTTCAAGCAGAATCTTAATTATAACCCACCCCCAACACCAGTTTGGTGTCGTGGTTAAGTGTGCGGACTCTAATCTGGGAGAACCGGGTTTGATTCCTCACTCCTTCGCTCGCACCTGCTGGATGACCTTGGGCAAGCCATAGTTCTGAAAGAGCTGTTCTCTCAAGGACAGTTCTGGAAAGAGCTCTCTCAGCCCCACCCACCTCACAGGGTGTCTGTTGTAGGGAGGGGAAGGGAGAGGAGTTTGTAAGCCGCTCTGAGACTCCGAGTGCAGGGCGGGGTATAAATCCAATCTCTTCCTCTTCTCCTCCTCCTCCTCCTCCTCCTCCTACTACTACTACTATTACTATCTGGGAGAACCGGGTTTGATTCCCCACTCCTCCACTCACAGCTGCTGGATGACCTTGGGCAAACCCTAGTTCTAGCACAGCTGTCCTTGAAAAATCTCAGCCCCACCTACCTCACAGGGTGTCTGTTGTGGGGAGGGGAAGGGAAAGGAGTTTGTAAGCCGCTCTGAGACTCCGAGTAAAGAGCGGGGTATAAATCCAATCTCTTCTTCTTCTTCTAGAAATTATTTTCATTACTTGTGTTGCTTTGGAAAGCATTGCTTTTGAATCCTTTTTTTTTTAAACAAAACAAAGCCCTAGCATTTGGGTAGAGAAGGGACTTAATATGAGCCACACAGCCTGTTTTGGATGCTGAGGCAGAACCCTACAATTTGTGAAATAGCATAACGCGTTTCTTTCGAGGATGGACAATCACAGCCCTGTTGCCCCCAGCATTCGGGGCTTTCAGGCCAGGTTGAGCCCCCGCAGCTTTCAGTTTAGAAATTACTGAACCACCACACACTAGCACACTGGTGCCAAAGATTTCCTCATGCTGATATTCACCGCAAAATCAGCACAATTATCTCACCCAAGACAAATGGCTAGACATCTGGAGAACACATGAAAACAAATCCCCCATCATCACACAAAAATATCAAAGTTTCAGATTAATATCCAAGTGGTATAAAACTCCCCAACAAATTTCATACATCTCCGGTCCCCTTTGCTGGAGGCGATGTAAAGAAACAGGTAACTATCGTAGCATCTTTCTGGGACAAAATAACAGAGGAAATAAGGACTGTAACTAAGCATAGAATAGACAAAACCCCAGAAGCACTACTCTTGAATCTCAGAGACGAAACTGCTCTATCTCTAACACTTAAGAAAAGAATCAGCCTACTACTGTTTGCAGCTAAAACCGCAATTGCATCCACATGGAAGTCCCAAAACACTCTGAACGTAAACCTCTGGTACAAGAAACTCTGGAATCTATACTTAATGGGAAAATCCACAGATATCTTTAAACAAATCAAACCCAAAGGAGAACACAATGATACGACATGTATATGGTCTCCTATCTTATCATACATAACTACCAAAGAATCAGTACCCGATGTAATAGGTACTCTTCACCTTTTGTAGCGTTTATAGCACAATACAGTTTGATATATAGTATGATCTGTATGGAAAGAATCGTCACCACAGTATAGATTAGATTGATTAAAGCACTTTTTGTATGTATAACGAAAAATATGTTAATTATATGTATATGCGTATCTTGCATAACCCTGTTAATGTTAATGAGAAAATTGAATAAAACTGATTTAGGGGGAAAATCAACACAATTGACACAGCCGAACCAACTACTGGGAAATCGTTCCACTCACCAAACCTCCTGTCGGTATCTGCAAGTGTCCTTCCCTTCTGTCATGAAAGAGTTAACCTGTTTGTTTCTGTATGCTAATTATAGGCCCCGGTCACACAAGCCGGATATCGTGGGGGGGGAGGTGTGGCTAATTGCCGCGGCGCAGTTTGATCCGCGATTACATGATCAGACTCACCGGCGGCACACCACCGGTCCTACCCTCGAAGCTGGCGGGTAAACGAGGGACCGGAGGGGAATGCCGTGTGCCGGCACGATCACACCACGGGGGTCTGGAGGCAGCCCGTGGCAAACGTTTACTAGTACCTTGGAGGTACTAGTTTTTTAACTCACATTGTCGGCAGTAAGCCACGGGTGCGCTCCACTTCCCAGATGTTGGGGTGTGATCGCGCCTGGATAATCCGCCCACCATCTGTGCCTCTCCCGCAGCAACTTTGCCGTGTGACCGGGGCCCTAGTTGGTTAGCTTAAATCCAATTAGATGTTAGGCACATGTTTCCGCCAGAGAAAGGGAGGTACTATTCCTAATGAGGTGGTTTTAAGATCGGCTATTGGCTAATTGATATATTGGATAAGAGTACACGTCATGTACACAAGAGGGTGGAGGCTTTAAGGAAACACTCTCCTTTGTTCTCATCTCTCTCACACTTTTCTCTTTTTCACACGGTTCCCCCAATAAGGAGACCCTCATATGCACAAGCCAGTGATACACACAAGGGAGACTGATTCTGGAACGCAAAGCACAGCTTTATTGCATTACAGCGGGGGGGGGGGAAATATACAGCGAATCAACAGAAAAATAGTACTCTCAACAGACTACAATCATAGGAAGCTTTAGTAAACATTAATCAGGTCATTTATTTATACAAGTATTATTAGCAAGTCTCAATCTGTTCTGAACAAGCTGGTTTTCTCTTTGATCCTTACATCCTTTAATCAGCAGAGCTACATTAACGTGTACGGCTTGGTCAGTCGCGACCGGACTGATCACTCATTAATAGATAACCTTTCTGTTTACCTTGGAAGCAAGAACTGGCTTCTCAGAATCATACCGTTCTCATTACATATTCTTGATTGTATGTTCTGATTACATCTTTCTTCCCCTTTGTGCAATCCACACCTGCCATTTGCGATCTACCACCTGTCCCAAAAGGAGCTGCGGTGGCTCAAGTGGTTAAGACGCTGAACTGCAGGCTGTGGAAGGTCAGTAGTTCAGCAGTTTGAGACCCTAATGCCGTGTGACGGAGTGAGCTCCTGTCTCTAGTTCCAGCTCCTGGCAACCTAGCAGTTCGAAAGCAAGAAATTGCAAGTAGATAAATAGGTACCACTTCGGTGGGAAGGGAACAGCGTTCTGTGCATTTTGGTGTTTAGTCATGCCGGCCACATGACCACGGAAATGTCTTCGGACAGTGCTGCCTCTTCGGCTTTGAAACGGAGTTGAGCACCAGAACCCTAGAGTCGGATTCAACTGGCTTTTGAGCAAGGGAAACCTTTACCTGTCCCAAAGACTTTTAGTCTTTAAAAGCTTTACTATTGATTATAGATTTATTATAGGTTTCTAAAAACTAAACCTAGACCCATCAACACCACACACACACACACGAGAGAGAGAGAGAGAGAGAGAGAGAGAGAGATAACTAACAGCTAGGCGGGATGGAGCTTAGATAGTTGGGATGTTGTTATTTTCACTCCATGTAGCCCTTCCCTAGTTTTTAGCAAACTTTTCTTAAAGCTAATTACACTCATGTGCTGCGTTGCTTTTTGCTCTGCTAAGTATGCAACATCTTCACAATCCAGCAAGGTTATGGGGTGTCCTTTTGTTCCCTGGCTAGCTGGATCTTCCTGTGCCATTGTCTTACTTTGCTTTTTCACCTGATCGGTTGTGGAAACACACCTGATTATGTCTTCAAGCATCTCTGATGTCTCTAAGTCAGACCTTATCAAAAACAGGACATTGGTTGCAGGGCGCATTATGCCTTTGGTTTTCAAGCAGAGGCTAGATGGCCATCTGACAGCAATGCGGATTCTGTGAATTTAGGCAGACCATGAGAGGGAGGGAGGGTTCCCTCAGTGCTTAGTTCTTGTGGCCCTTTCTCGCACGCCCAGGGAAATGCTGATCACCACTTTGGGGTCCGTTTAGCTGAAGATCCTGGAGGGTTTTTCTTTTCTTTTTTTGCCATCTTCTGGGCATGGAGTAGGGGCCACTGGGGGTGCAGGGGAGGGAGGCATTTGTGAATGTCCTGCATTGTGCAGGGGGTTGGACTAGATGACCCTAGAGGTCCCTTCCAACGCTATGATTCTATGATTAAAAATTATTTTATACAACTTTAAATACTTCAACATTTTATCTTTCTCTGTTTTAGGCAAAAATTAGAAGAGTTTCATGGGTTCCAAACATTTCATTTTCCCCCCCCTGAGGTGAGAAAAAAATAAAACATTTAACTCTATTTTTTTTTCTTTTGGCTTCAGAAGAAATTAAAACATTTTTATGGGCCCTTGGCGCTCTACCTCCTATGCCTAATGGATGAGTTGGCCCTGACTGGTTGTCACAATTGGCTGGATCAAAGTGAAAACAGGAACAACGTTGAAACAATACAAAGAGAGTTGCAACAGATGTCAAAAAAAGGAGGTGCTTCATTGACAATTCTGTAAACACACACACGATTCTTTAGTTTTACCTCATCCCTACTATTGGTTAAGGAGCGACACACATCAAATTGCATGGTTGCACAGTTGATACGGAGGGTGAC